ATTTCTTGTTATAACCACCCTACTTTTATCATAATTCTTAACTGTAACTCTCCTGACTTCAGCATACTGTTTGAAACACCTGTTTGACTGTTTATTTTGATTCTATTAATGATGACAGTAATGGTGAAATCTGTATGACTCAAGAGTCTCATATCTATGTCAAAGTTTCCCCAGTCACTTTTTTAAAAACCGAACTATGCAAATATATTTTACGCTTCCTGTATTTCCTTCCCATTTTAATGTAAATGTATCATACTATATCGCAATGCATTTTAGCATAGAGCTACTCATACAAGTACAAAATAGAATTTGTAAGGTTTCATGAATTTCGCTTTCCTAAATAAAATGATTGTACATGATTGCATTATGATTAAGAGTAGGAAAGATGTTTAATAATGAGAAAATGCCAAAAAATGTCAGATTGTGTTCACCTTTTGCACCGGATTGCAAGTCCTGTTGAATTAAATACAGAATAACTGAGTACAAAATTATCTCCTAGTGCTTTTTTGATGAAAATTTCTTTGTAAAAAGTTGGTAGATGGACTGGTTGATTTGAGAGTTTGCTGTGTGACTGTGTCTGTGTGTGTGAGTGACAATTTTTAAAAGCAGAAGGTGGAACATCCATATTCTTGGATGAGATACTTGTTAGAACCTGATACCAAGGTAATTTTTTGGCCCCAGTGTTCTTGTTGCAACAAGTTTCTACTGTAGTCTGTTTGGCAAATATGAATTGTTTGCGACACTGGGGCAAGTTGGCAGTAACACCCCGTATGTTGGGAAGAACACCAAGTTTGCCTTTTGAGGAAGAGTCAAACCCGTTTCAATGTCTCTTTGATTAAAAGCAGAACAATCACAAAGGGAGAGAGAGAGAGAGAGAGAGAGAGAGAGAGGGGAGGAGAGGGGGTGGGGGGAGTAAGAGAGAGATAGAGAGATAAAGATTTTTTGTTGTTATTTCAAACATTCTACTTAAAGGGCATCCAATTGACAACGTGGTCAAGTCTGTGAGGTCATTGATTCATTTCCACTACTTGATTTGGTAATGAGATGTTACAAATTACCATCTCTATCTTAATTATTTTTAGGGTAATGTGTCATTGCAGGTTTATGCACCAATAAAACTGAAACAGGATTCTTATGAAAATTGTATTTGAAGTTATGACACCACAGCTACATGAAAAATTGGCATGTATTGGCTGATTCCGAATCAAAGTTAGATTTTTTTCTTTCTTAATTCTTTCTTTTTAAGTCCTCCTGTTCCTATCTGTTCGTTCTACTATGATATCCCCTTTACATACACAGATTTTTCTTACGAGTCCTTACAGATCGCACAAAAATCACTGATTTTTCACAAATCCTTATGATTTGGCCACTTTTACGACTGATAAGACGGAGTTGCTACGAGTTATTACAAGCTATTTATGATTGATTACGGATTATTACGATGTATTTACAGCAAAATTCCACGATTTCGTTACGAGTTGTCACGGATGACTACAAGCAACTTACGGGCATCTTGTGACCCGTTTACGTGTTGTTACAAATACTTACGAGTTAGTTACAAGTATTTGTGAGTCCTTACGATATTGCAGCTTCTATACCTTTCCCCAAATCGTAAACAATACGTATGAATACGGAGTGTAAACGTATTTATCTATAAAGTACTTGTAACTACACATAAAATGCCTGTGATAACCTGTAACAATCCGTTAGGCCATCGTAACACGACCCAAAGGAAATCGTAAACAACACATAAGCACTTGTAATAATCCGTAAATAATCCGTAAACAAATCGTAAACTAACCGTAACAAATCGTTAAACATTTTACGAGTCATTTACGGATGCTTACGATTGACTACGAGTTGGCGATTCGTAAAGACTCGTAAGAAAATTCACGTATGTGAAGGGGGTATTAGTCGGCTCATAAGAAATCAATAAAAAGAGACTTGACTTAACATTGAATACAGTAACAATAAATACACACAGACATACAAAAATCAAAGCTAACAATAAAAGAAAAATAATGTTGGATTTACTTTATTGCACTTGTTAAAAGGCAATCATGCTTTTATAGAGATATTTACTATTGTGGAAAAGCGTGAACCCTTGTGACCAAGAACCCCCCCCCCCACCAAACAAACATTGCAGACAAACAGACATTTGGAAAGACAAATAATAAATGAGATGCTTGAAAGAGATGAATGGAAATACAACTAGGCCTACCTGATTAACAATAACAATGGTTTCTCATAAAGCTTTTTTGGGTCACAACGTAAATGTAACCGACCAAAGTGCTAACAGTATTTTTACCCTCATTTTTTAACGGGTGTGAACATGCTTAACACTAACCTAAAGGGAAAGTCTACCCTGTTATTAAGTTGGTTTTAATAAAAGCAGAAAAATGAGAGAAATAGGTCAGTAAAAGCTTGAGCCAAAACTGATTAAGAATTAGAATGTTATGAATTTTGAAGGTGTGATCAATCAAATAAAAATTGGCAACTCTGTGACAAATCTTTGCGAGCTCCCCTCCCATTTTCCCAGTACTAAAACACTTTAAAAATGTCTAGTTTCCCTCATGAAAATTTTAAATCAGGCATTAACCCTAAATAAAATTATCTCACATACATGTTTATACATCCCCTATATGAGAAAATTCATTCTGTCACCAATATCTAAGGAAATTAAGTTAATAAAATTTTCTGTATAGAGAAAATTGGAGAGAAGCTCGCAAAATGTGCAACTGATAACAAATTCAAAATTCATAACTTTCCTATTTTAATTGAATTTTGCTCAAACTTCCACTAATTTGCCTCTCTCATTTTTCTGCTCTTATCAAAACCAAAAAAAAAATATCAGGGTGAACTTCCCCTTTTAAACTAAACGGGATGAGGGAGGCAGATTCCACCCCTACCCCTTGCCATGATACGATTGAGGGTTTTTTTTTGCTGCAAGCTTTCATTACTTTATCACATAGAGTCTGGCACATTTTTTAATACCAGATTTTTCATATCAGATTTACACAATTAAGATCCGAAAAGGTACTGCACCCCATATGTATTGTACACTCAGAAAGTTGATCACCAATCAGTAAATTGAATCTTGCCTGACATGTCACCATAATGCATGAATTTCAATATCAGATTCTTCAGAATTTGCCATTCAAGGATGACCAGTTGGGAAACAAAAGCCTCAATGTCATTAACAAAAATCACACTTGTGTCAAAGAAAAAAAGAGTGCTATGCATACCAATACCATGCAGTGCTCACCTCTTTACCCCGCCCTATATTATGTTGTGCTACTCACTCTCTGGCTGGAAAATTGTTTACATTTGGCGTCATTTTAAAGAGGAATAGACACAATTTCTAATGATAATAATCAAGTGATGATTAATTATGCCATGACGAGAGAGCTAAAAATTGATTCAACTTGAGTTTTCAAACTGTTTTTTAGGGGCTTATATTCTAAACTGATAGGAGGCCAATCACTACAGTTGTCTCTACATGTAAGGGCAAGGGTGTCGATTGGTATCCGTGGTTGGGGGGATGATAGGTGCCAAAATATTTTCGGCAATGGATCAAAGCAATCAAGAGGTAGAAGCGTGTGGCAAGTTGCACCCCTCCCAAGCGCGTAGCCAGGATTTCATTTTAGGGGGCGGTAGTGAGCACGCGAAGCGCGGTCCTTAGGGGGTTGCGTGCAGGGAGGGGGGGGGGGGGTTCCCCCCCCCGCGAAGCGCGGAAGCTTTGACGTTTCACTAAATTATTAGAGAAAGAAGACGATTCGTTGGACCGTTCTCGACTCTTAATCCTTGTTTGAATCAAGTTCCTCTTCCTCCGCGCATAGCGCGGAAGCTCTGACGTTACATCAGATTGTTAAAGAAAGAAAACGATCGATGTACCATTCTCGACTCTTAATCCTTAATGTTTGAATCAAGTTCCCCTTCCCCTTCTGACGTTTCATTAGATTATTAAAGAAAGAAGACGATCCTATGTACCATTCTCGTCTCTTAATCCTTCATGAATTCAGTTTTCAGCTTTGACGTTTCACTAAATTATAAGAGGAAGAAGACGATTCGTTGGACCGTTCTCGACTCTTAATCCTTGTTTGAATCAAGTTCCCCTTCCTCCGCGCGTAGTGCGGAAGCTCTGACGTTTCATCAGATTATTAAAGAAAGAAGACGATTCGATGTACCATTCTCGACTCTTAATCCTTAATATTTGAATCAAATTCCCCCTTCCCCGCGCGTAGCGCGGAAGCTCTGAAATTTCATTTTCGCCCATTCCTGCGCGAAGCGCGGAAGCATTCACATTAGTGAAAGAAGACGATTTGTTGTATCGTGTCCTTCATGAACTCAGTTTCCCCCCTACCGCGCGAAGCGCGGAAGCTTTAACGTTTCAATAAATTTTACTCTTAATCCTTGTCTGTATTCATTTTCGCCCATTCCGCGCTTAGCGCGGAAGCTTTCACGTTTCATTAAATTATTCGTAAAAGAAGACGCTTCGTTGTATCGTGTACTTTGACGTTTCATTTGATTATTACGCTTAATCCACGTCTGAATTCAGTTGCCCCCTAACAGCTTTGCCCTTTTCACTGAATTATTAGAGAAAGAAGACGATTCGTTGTACTGTTCTCTATATTAATCCTTGTCTGAATTCAGTTTCCCCACTGAAAATAATTTGTGTTACAAATAAGTTGTGACATAATAATCTTTCTCCAAAAATGAAAAATCTTTTAGGAAATATCAGGAAATAAAATGAGTGAAAAAAACAAAAATAAAGATACAATGACGTGAATTTTAAAAAAGGGTGTAGTCATATTGCGAGTAATAACCATTAACTACTCTCATCGGGCTCTTATCCTTAAATCCTTAATTTTTCTCTTCATTTTTTTTTTATGGTGAATTATTGGGGGGATGATTGTACAGGCCACCCCCCCCCATCTGAAATATTGGGGGGGGGGATATATCCCCCCATCCCCCCCCCCGGGATCGACACCCATGGTATCCCATGCGAGGTTAATTTCCTCTTTAATTAGTCATCAGGATTTGCTATTTTTCATTGCATCTTGGATGAAACTAAAGGCATCTCTACTTGCTCCTGCTTTCTGCTTCTTATCATCATTGTCCACAACAAATCCAAACCCCGTGGTTGGTTTTTTGGCAAGATTGATCGGTGTCGAGGTCATCCCACTCAGGGTGATCGACGATAGCTGAGGGTACATCTGGGAAATATGCTGTGCTGACATGACTGGCTGCTGTAAGGTCATGCTAGGATGGGGATGTTGTGAAGGCATATCAACCTGTGGCGTTGCTGTACCGAGCTGTGAGAGAACTTGGTTTGATGAAGCCTTTGGGTCAGAAGATGCTTCCTTGGGGGACACAGTGTTCCACAGGTCAGCGAACCCTGCCTCTCTGGACATTATAGGATCCATCCTACTGTGCTGAGATGCCTCTGGATCAACAGATTTCTGGTGTACTGGTGTTGCTGCAGGGTTTACATTGCTTAAGCTATAAGCAGCAGGTGCACTCATTACCTGTGTGAACTCTCCTTGTGTCCGATTATTTGTTACTGAACTTGGCTTAGTGTCAGAAAGGAGTAAGTTTGTTTCTGACGAGTCTGACTTTGACATGAACTGGGTGTCTATTAGCAGATCAGCTACTGAATGTCCTTCTTTAGCTTCCTTGTGCCTACTGGCAGAACTCGAAGACATCCCTGTTGAGGTCTTCCCTCCAGGAGCTACTGGCGATCTGGTCGCTACGGTCATACCACTGAACAAAGATCCTCCAGATGATTTTGGTGCTCCGTCTGAGGAAGAAAAGGCATCTCTTGGCAGAACAGTTTTCAGTGGAGTTGTGTTAGCCAAGGATGCTGGTATTTCAGCCTCAGCAGCCTCTAATACTGACTGGGACATGAGCTGGCTCTCTGGCATCAGTGGCTGATCTAGACTGGTGTCAGCTTCAAGCCTCTCCAACTGACGTAAAATCTGAAAAAAGAAAGAATTGAGACACGACTTTAATGAAAGAAAAAATACCCCATGAGCATTTCAATTTTCTAATTTCAAACTTCCTTAGGTGACGAGCAAAAGGCTTTTGAATTATAAAGTGAATCTTACTAGACATTCATTTGTTCATCTCCATGGATATTTGAACCATCTGCATTTCTATCCTGTGCCTCACTTGTAAGTGTGCTCAGTGATTAAAGGAAACCTCACCCCAAACAATAAGTGTAGGTATGCTGAAAGCTGAGATTTATTGATTTATTCCTGCCTATTTGATGTAGAAAATTCCTTCTTCTTCTTATCGAGTCACTACACAAGTCCCGTCCAGTGGTCCACACAGGCTTTGGCACGGCAATTAACGGCTTCCAGGTCATCTTGGGTGCATGGCTCTGGCAGGAGTGGGCAGACTAGCAGGTGTTCCATTGTCTGTTCCTGGCCGCATTCACATGCCGTTTGTTCGTCTCCTAGACCCCACCTCTGCATTAGGACTCTGCATCGACCGTAGCCAGTTCTTAGGCGGTTGAGGCTAAGCCAGGTAGGCCAAGTCTCACTGGAGCCGGTTGCGAGGGATTCCTTCGGGCTGAGGGAGAGTTTATGTGGAGTTGTCTGAAGGTGGTTAGACCACAAAGTCATCCTTTGGTTGTGAGGGCTAGTATTAAGAGGCTCTACCGAGTGCAGAAAGCTGTGTCTGGATTTGAGCCGCTTGCCCACTGGCTGTTGTTCGAAGAGTGGGTGGAGTGGATTGTTTTCTTGTTTGTCCTTTTCTTTCTGGGACAAGACCAACCTTCTGACGTGTGGAGGGGCAATACCGCAGAGCAGGTAGATGTCTTCTACTTTAGTTGGCCTTAGGCATCCAGTGATCGCTCTACAAGCTGAATTTAGAGCTGGGTCAATCTTGGGTGCATGGGCCGACCTACTCCATACTGGTGATGCATACTCCGCAGCAGAGAAGCAAAGCGCGAGGGCTGTCGTCCGGATTGTTCTGGCATCAGTCCCCCAGTTGGTGTTGGCTAGCTTCTTGAGGATGCTGTTGCGGGCTCCAACTTTTGCCTTTGTGTTGGCAATGTGGTTCTTGTAGGTAAGGGAGCGATCGAGTGTGACGCCTAAGTAGACTGGGTTGGGAGTGTGCTTCAGCCTTTTCCCATACCAGCTGATCCTTAGTTGATGGTTGGCATCCCTGTTCTTGAGGTGGAATGCGCTTATCTGAGTTTTATCAGGGTTAGCTCTCAGGTGGTTGGTCGCATAGTATGGGATGAGACCGGCCAGGGCATCACTGAGGGACTCCTCCAACTTCACAAAAGACTGGTTCTGGGTGGCGATGCAGAGATCATCGGCGTAGAGGAAGCTCCTGGTGTTTGGGTGGATCGGTTGGTCATTCGTGTACACGTTAAAGAGTAACGGTGCGAGCACACTTCCTTGTGGTAGGCCATTTTTCTGTCTGCGCCATCTGCTGCAATTCCCATTGAGAACCACAAAATATCGCCGATTGGACAGCAACGTCTGGATGAGTCCAGTCAGTCTCACGTCCTTTGTCAGCTCAAAGATCTTCCTGGTAAGGATTCTGTGATTCACGGTGTCGTAGGCAGCAGAGAGATCAACGAAAGCAGCTCCGGTGATTAGCTTACTCTCATAGAAAATTCCTTATGGAGATATACAAATGAAGATATACATGGCATGATGTAATGACTTTTGGCATGACATGGGCGCAGTCATTTTCTTTATAATATGACATGCAATCACTGCACACACTAAATTTGAATGCATTTACTTGAAAGACGACTATAGGACGTCACGTTATCAAGAAAATGGGAACGCCATTGAGAGTGGAGGGCAGTTCCTCTTAAATGAAAAATATGAGATCTGATTGATACAAAGCCGAAAAAACAAAAAATATACACACCCACACCCACCCACATAACCATGAATATTCATAGACATCCGAGTGAATATGCATTGATATGAATATCCATACCTTGAGAGACTTTGTCCTGATAGCTTTATCTTGACTACCCTGCATTGATGTAAGGTGAGAGCTGAGAAGACTAAGAGCCACGTCGGACGAGATTAAATCCTCTTTTAGAATGCCTTCGATGCCAAACAAACAAAACTGGGAAATATAATAATACAACAGTAAACAATTAGAATTTCAAAGCAAAATATTTAGGCCCAAATGTAATAATATCAAATTTCTTGTCCTTTTTTCTTTACTTTTACAAATATAAACATGAATGAGAGAATAGTGGTTAGATGACAAACTGTAATACATTAATGAAACTGTATATCCAAATACCATATTGTTGTTTGGGTCTGGTTTTATTGTCAATTAACATGTGACTGTAAATTGGAAATATAAAATGGTAAGGAACCCCACCTTGTTTATCAGAAAAATCCCAATAAGAATTGTTTGAGTATAATGGACAATTATGGTTTAGCTCTGATTAATCATAAAAGCAAGGTTATTGATTATCAAAGATAACAAAATAGGAAATAAAAGAAGTGATTTGATGTGTTAATTTGATCATTGATATGTTCTAGCTTTCTTGCTGTCTGAACTTTCTTAGATTAATAAAACTGAACAACTCCATGCATGTTAAGCGTAGAAGTTATTTAGACATCGCTTTGTTTTACGATGAAAACCATCCACAATGAATTTCATTTTTTTTAAAATTCCAATATACATGTTAAAACAACATTTAAGTGAGAAAGAGAGAAAACAATTCTGCAAGACAATTCCTAAAGAATAGTTCTAATAAATTTTCTATCATACACAAGAATGCTGTAAGAAATACATGTAAGCAATAAACGAAGTAACATAATAATTGTGCAATACTTACTAACTGAGTGTTGTGGGATGATGTCAGTAGTTCTATCATTTTCTCACAATTTAATAATGAACTCCTAGAAAATAAAAACATAAAATAAACTTAGTGAAATATGTTACAATAGTTTTATAACCACTGTTTATATCTTATCTTCTTTTTAACTTGGGAGGAATAATTAAGATACCATTGGCCCAAAATCAGCATTAATTACAATGTGTTTATTGTTTCTCATAGTGATGCAAAATAAATCAACATTTCCCAAATCTAATATGATGTTTATTTACTTTATATGGACAAAAAGAAGAAACAATGTCTTTTCCATTCTCAATTTAGTAAATACTTGAATTGAAATTTGAACTAAAAATTCATCTGACTGTCTAAATATTCACCAGCCATGAGTCTGGCTTTTCATGGTTGCAAGATTCCCAAATGTTGTATTTTAGCAACCTGGAGCAACCAAATATTCAGAGACTCATGAAATATTGTTGTACAAAATTAACAAATTAATCCATTTTTTAAAAATAAATAGAGACGATGATAGAGGTGTTCATATACAGTGATTTGCAGGATATAGGAATATGAGGGCTTGAGGGGTAATACTTTACAGTAAAGATGGTCTCAAAAGCCTTCATCATCAATGAAAATAAATTCTAATATTGCTCATATGAAGGATTTGCAATATTCCTACTCCTCAACATCGATTGCATCCAAGACTTCCACAAATATGAAAAGAGACAATTTAAAGCCACTAGTTATTCACAACTCTCCCTTCTTTCTGTGGTTGTACTCACAATGTTAAGTATATGAGTAGTGCTATGGAGATACCACATAAGATGCCTTCAAACATCTTTCACGATTGCTTATCATTCTTTGTATCTTGACAAGTGAATAATTAGAGTACAATTGATATATTCATTGATCACCAGTTCTAAAAAATAATCATAGAGTACTTAAACCATTTTAAGTAACACTTAGTAACACTAACCAAGACTTATTTCATTTGTTTGTTTTCTTCAGTGTTTTCTTTTTTTTTTCTTTCTCTTGTTATGTAACACAAATCACTTAACCTCTAAAATATGTCCATGACTATAAATTTTGTTCTTTCTCTATGGTCTAACAATCCTCTCTTCCGGTCATCTCGACCTATATCCTCTTTCATTCCCTTCTGTCTGTCTGCCTGTCTCTCTCTCTCTCTGATTTGTTGTAAATGAAAGTACATGTAATTCCTGTAAATATCTTACAGTGGGGTCAAATATTCTGAATCTCCTAAAGATCTTTAATCTTGATCTTACGGTAGTATCTTTAACCTAAAGGTGTCTCTAAACTAAATTTGTAGCCTAAGTGGCTGTATCTGCAAATTATTAAATGTGTTATCAAAATGAAACCATAACTTAATATTCACAAAGCAATTTCTAATTCAATATATATATATATATATATGCACTTCATCGATACATTTCATCTCTGGTTTGCAAACTGTGTTATGTAGTATGATTATATTTTGTGGTTGTTTATGGATACTTTTCTTTGATATCAACTTCAAACCTCTTACCATGCAGTTAACTTTCCTTTTTGTTTGTTTTTATTAGCTTTAGGCCTTTGTTTAGAGTGTGTGTATGTGTGTGCATCAGACACGGATCCAGAATTTCTTAGGGGTGGGGGCCCAATTTTTTTCTTTTTGCTCCCGAAAATTTGAAAATCGCGCCCCCCCCCCTTAAGCACCGGGGGGGGGGGGATCTCCCCAAAAAAGTAAAATTAACGTGTTTTTTACACGTGTTCCCCCCCCCCCCCCCCTCTGGATCCGCCACTGGTGTGCATGAGGGTGAGGTGTGCAACTCGCGCGTATGTCTTTATGTTTCATACATCATCATGCTATTCTGCAGGTTTGTTTGTGTGGACTTTGGACCTATAAACATTCAAGTGAAGAGAGAATTTCATCATCTTTACACGATAAGGGCTGTTCACACACAAAGCATAAACACAAAATTTTTTGATAACCTGACAAATAAAGTCCAAGCAAATATATACAGTACATGGTTCCGACCGGTAAATGCATTCACTTGCAGCCCCCCCCCCTCTCTCTATGAATATACATGTATAATGTGAAAGGAAATAAGAGAATAATGGTTGCATAACTGAAATCAAGTCCCTCACTGCTCTACTTTGGTGTAAGCTACCCAACCTTTATTTTATGATTTTGTATTTATTTTCACGAGAGTTGTTTTAAAAATGATTATGTATATACATATTACTTATCTCACATGTGTACATGTAAATAAGTAGGATTTGAAACAGCAATCATATACAACATTTTCCTGCACTTAATTCATTCTATTTTATTTCATTTATTTAAATCCATATTTCATACAACTTGTGAATGGGCCTAATGATGACGTGTATTTTGGAACCATTCCAACTTTCATTGCAAGCTCAATTTCTCTGTTGTGATGAGGATCTTGGAAGGTGCAGGCGGGTAGGCGTACTGTCCTCTCAAAAGTAAACAGCTGTGTGTGTGGTTTTCATTGGAGCTGCATATAACTTCATGTTTTACAAGACGAATCTTTAATTAAGCAACAAATGATCTGAAGACAAAGAGTTAGGTAAGTGTATAATTTGTTTTTCTTGACCATCTCTGCTGCATGAGCGAATGATACTCACTATGAATGTGACAAAGAAAGCGGACAAAATATACAGTTCTTCAGGTAGACAAAGGAACATCCCTTCACTGTTATTATGTAAAAAGGTGAATATGCATGTGACACCTGTTCTACACATTTTTACATAATAGCAGTGAAGGATGTTCCTTTGTCTACCTGAGGAACTGTACATTTTGTCAGTCTTTGTCAGTCATGTTCACAGTGACTACCTACTCACAAAGAATTATATCAAACTAAAGTCGGAGTATATCTGTTCTGAACTTAAAGTATACCTACTGGGCTATTGGTGATCCATTCTTTACTCCAAGCTTTAGCTTCTAATTTGATCTCAAAAACATATTTATGGAGGTGTCATGGTACAGTAGTTCATTCCCTTGAATCTCAATCCAAGGGGTTAAGGGTTTGAATCCCACCTTGGCACTTACATCTTTTGGCAAGAGATTAAATCACAAGTGCCACTCTTCACGTACCTGGCAATTGCTGGCATAAAATTAATTGCAGCATATCACCAGCATATGGTAATACATTGGGTTATGATAGGGTTTTAGGTTTTAGGTTATAGTTTGGGTTGGTAAGACTAGAGCTAAGGGATAGGTATACAGTGTTGGGTCCTGGTTGAAAAATGTATAAATTAACACGAGCTAGTGATCATAGACCAACTGTACCACCACAATTTGTGTCGTACAATCCACCTACTCTAATTTTTCTTCTAACACATCCAGGCAACTGATTGCGTGCATCTGAAGCTACTCCAATGGCCATTTCTATACCACATCTGAATCCTAAATGGAGAGATATGTTCTGCAGGTTATCGCTGTTTCATGAAATTGAAATTGTGCCCGATGGTAAAGGAAGAGAATTAGTCAGAATCGTCAGTTGACGAATCGATCAACAAAAAAGCTGGAACACAATACAGTAAATTGTTGCTACAGTTACTGCAGAATTCTTGCCTGTGTATGTGACAGAACCAGACGATGTATATAATGCTAGCTCAAGAATAGATTGTTTACATTTTGGACACGTCGTACCATCAGAAAGTTTGTTATTGAGTTGGATGTCAAAGTTGCAACATTACTGTTTGTGAATTATATAGAATTCTGACAATCATTTTCTCCTCTTCGCAGTTACTGAAGAACCTTTAAGTATTTTGGAGGGAAATCTGAATCTAACCATAGTTCAAAATGTTGAAAGTTTTGTTTCATTCCTTGACTGGTGGATTTAAAATCCCAATATTTTTAATTTCTATCATTCTCATAAATCTATATGGATGTAAATCCACACAATTATCTGAAATAGAAGGGCAAGAAGCTAACTTGATTTTCCCATACCCATGTGACAGTACAGAAGTCACGTTACAGCATTCGGCCAGAGCACCATTTTATCGCTCTACAGACGGGTCATCACTGTCATTGCCTGATGATCAGGTCCATAGATTCATAGTGCAGAATAGAATCGAAAATGGAAACTGCTCTCTGGATCTTACAATAAGTGATATACTGAGCGTTGATCGAGGGACATACCTTTCCACTATCTACAAGGACGGACAGCTGCTTGATGACTACACAACCAGAGTTGGGCTGCAAATAGACTATCCTCCTGGTAAGGCATCATGTGTTGAGATTAATGAAAAGGGAGGAGACTGGGTCTCAATAGACTGTACAGCCAATGTTGGGAGTCTATCAGGAAAGATTGAATGCTATCAGGATGGTGTATGGATGCTTCCCCTAACTGATCCTACTCATACAGACAAATTATTGAAACAGACCATTCTGATCAGAAAATCACAGCCAGTATTTTGCTGTTCATCTGCTCTGATTGAATACAAATTAAGATGTGAATGTAAGGATACTGGTCTGTACATAGCTGATGATGATAGCAATGACCCTTGCCCTCCTTTATCAGAAATTACAACTATGCCTCTCCCTACCACTCACACAGAAAACAATCAGAGTAATTACTATTCCACTGTGACGTCCTCCATTCCGATTAATACGAAACATTGCATCTCCACAAAATGGGTGAACATTCACTCAATTGCCATACCCATTGAAATTATACTGCTATTCTTGAGTTTGTTTTTCCTCTACAAAATTAAAACAAAGATCAGAAATAATAATAATGTTGAAGATCCTCCCATTCCTTTACAATTGAATACATCACTACTTCCAACGATTAAAAATGGATCAAGAAAAAAATAAAGAATTTGTGTAAATTCTAATTTGTACGTACGTACACAATACTTGGAACATTCAACTGAAAATGTTTCAATATGCTTTAATGAAGACTCCAAACGAAATAATCAAGATCTCATACTGATTTCAAGCTCAGTTTCGAATTGAACTAAATTGCGAGAAAAGTA